CACCAGGGCCCGGGGGGCGGTCACGCAAAATCTGCGTGTCGCACGCCAGGGGTCCTGGGGGCCGGGGTGGGGACACGCAGAATCTGCGTGTCACGCGGACCCCAAATCTGCGTGTCGCACGCCTGGACCGGGGGCCGGGTTGGGGACACGCAGAATCTGCGTGTCACGCGGGCCCCACCAGGGGGGCGGTCACGCAAAATCTGCATGTCGCACGCCCGGGGTCCTGGGGGCCGGGGTGGGGACACGCAGAATCTGCGTGTCACGCGGGCCCCCACCAGGGGGGCGGTCACGCAAAATCTGCGCGGGGCACGCCGGGTGTCCTGTGGGCCGGGGTGGGGACACGCAGAATCTGCGTGTCACGCGGACCCAAAATCTGCGTGTCGCACGCCGGGACTGGGGGCCGGGGTGGGGACACGCAGAATCTGCGGTCCTGGGGGCCGGGTTGGGGACACGCAGAATCTGCGTGTCACGCGGGCCCCACCAGGGGGGCGGTCACGCAAAATCTGCGCGGGGCACGCGGGGGGTCCTGGAGGCTGGGGTGGGGACACGCAGAATCTGCATGTCACGCGGACCCAAAATCTGCGTGTCGCACGCTGGGGGTCCTGGGGGCCGGGGTGGGGACACGCAGAATCTGCGTGTCACGCGGGCCCCACCAGGGGGGCGGTCACGCAAAATCTGCGTGTCGCACGCCAGGGGTCCTGGGGGCCGGGGTGGGGACACGCAGAATCTGCGTGTCACGCGGGCCCCACCAGGGGGGCGGTCACGCAAAATCTGCGCGGTGCACGCGTCGCACGCGGGGGTTCCTGGGGGTGGGGACACGCTCCGATCTTGCGTGTCACGCGGGCCATAAATCTGCGTGTCGCACGCGGGGGTCCTGGGGGCCGGGGTGGGGGACACGCAGAATATGCCGTGTTCACGCGGTCTCCAGTATTAGCTTGTTCTTCCACACCAGGGGGGCGGACACGCAAAATCTGCGTGTCGCACGCCGGGGGTCCAGGGGCTGGGGTGGGGACACGCAGAATCTGCGTGTCACGCGGGCCCCACCAGGGGGGCGGTCACGCAGAATCTGCGTGTCGCACGCCAGGGGTCCTGGGGGCCAGGGTGGGGACACGCAGAATCTGCGTGTCACGCGGGCCCAAAATGTGCGTGTCGCACGCCGGGGGTCCGGGAGCCAGGGTGGGGACACGCAGAATCTGCGTGTCACGCGGGCCCCACCAGGGGGACGGACACGCAAAATCTGCGTGTCGCACGCCGGGGGTCTGGGGGCCGGGGTGTGGACACGCAGAATCTGCGTGTCACGCGGGCCCCACCAGGGGGGCGGTCACGCAGAATCTGCGTGTCGCACGCCAGGGGTCCTGGAGGCCGGGGTGGGGACACGCAGAATCTGCGTGTCACGCGGACCAATCTGCGTGTCGCACGCGGGGGGCCGGGGTCGGGACACGCAGAATATGCGGTCACGCGGACCCAAAATCTGCGTGTCGCACGCGGGGGTCCGGGGTGGGGACACGCAGAATCTGCGTGTCACGCGGGCCCCACCAGGGGGGCGGTCACGCAAAATCTGCGTGTCGCACGCCAGGGGTCCCGGGGGCCGGGGTGGGGACTCGCAGAATCAGCGTGTCACGCGGGCCCCACCAGGGGGGCGGTCACGCAAAATCTGCGCGGGGCACACCGGGGGTCCTGGGGGCCAGGGTCGGGACATGCAGAATCTGCGTGTCACGCGGGCCCCACCAGGAGGGGGCCAAGGGCCGGGAACCGTGGCGCTCCCGGAGGTCCAGAGGCCGGGGGCCAGGGCCGGGACATGCAGAATCTGCGTGTCACCTCGAGAAAACCGCGCAGGGGCACGCAGAATCAGCGTGTCACACGGGCTCTGGCGGCCGGGGGCGAAGGCGACACCTTGGTCCGTGAAAACGCAACGCCGCAGGGTCCATGGCCTGCCTGCTTGCCGCCGCCGCGGCACTCCTCGGCGCTCCTGGCCGCGTGACACGCAGAATTTGCGTGTCACGGAGGCGTTCGCGTCTGCGCGACACGCGAAGCCTGCGTGTCAGTCACTCGGCGGCCTTGAGGCTTCAGACTGACGTGACACGCAGGATTTGCGTGTCACGTCTACGCGACACGCAAATCCTGCGTGTCACGTCACACGGAACGCGCTCGGAGCGGCGTCGCGTAAGTAAACGTGACACGCAAACCCTGCGTGTCACACGGAACGGCGACGACGTTGTTCTTGCCGTTACTATTTTGATTTTTTACGAGCGTAAGCAGAAGCTGCGCCCTGACGCCTTGGAGACACGTTGGGCGTAGCGCTTGAGCACATGCCTTCCCTTCACGTGGCCGGAATTGGAAATGAACGGAATTACAAATGACCGGAATTACAAATGAGTGCTCTGTATGCGTAGTAGTAGTAGTACTATCACTACTACTCCTACGATTACTACGACCACTAGTGGCATTACTACTACGATTATTCTTCCTACCACGATCATTACTACTACGACGACAATCG